AAGTGAACTGTTTTAATCCCTGATCTAGATAGTACGCGTTGTTGCTAAAAGTGTACGATTACAAATTGTAAGTGTCCTAAAATGCCTCAGTGACAAGCCATTAGAAGGTACAAATTTAGCACCTTTTTACAGACGCTGAAAGCAAGTAGTCTGAGCCGACATTGTCAGTGTCAAGAGCGTATCCATGTTGCGTTGTTCGCGGGGAGAAGCGCATAGCCAGGCTGTGCTCGTCTTCCACTGGCTGCTGGGACAGGTCGTTGGTCTGCTTGATGCTGTTGACGGTGCAACCTTGGCGCGGACACACGCTGAAACGAGACAGGAGTGTAACCAGGATGGCCTTCATCATCACCATGGCGATGTTCTTGCCCACGCAGGAGCGAGGCCCGCATCCGAACGGCTGGAAGAAACGTTTGGGAACCTTGTAAAAGAAGAGACGTTATGTTGAGGTTCAACCACGATGCGTTTGGTAGTAGAGTACCGGCGGACTAACCGTTTTGTCAAAATTGTGCAGGTTGAATTCTTTGGGTTTGGGAAAAAATTCCGTCTTGTGCATGAGACCGATGTTGAGAATGATGTTTGTTCCTTTTTTAACGCTGATGCCTTCAATGTCGTCATCTTCCAGAGCTTTGCGCATGGTGAAGTCAACCACCGGATGGTACCTCAACGACTCGTTGATGAAAATCTCCAGCACTTTCAGACGTGCGTAATCCACATTTTCTGCTCCACTTTCGCCTGCATCAGCAATGGTAAAGTGTGAAGGATTTCATTTTTACATGTTATCCATCTACAGCAGTGGTGAAGGCCTTGTCTGATCATATCTCAACATAATACCATTTTTAAAAGGCTATAGGTCAGCAGTGATTCATATCACATAAAAATAACAGATTTTATTCCTGACTTTAGGAATGAAGTAAATATACAAATCCAATCTTTTTTAGTCAATCCCCATCATCTGAAAATCACATGTATCAGCCCCGTTTTCTGATCACGTGATTGGATCGGGACAACCATACGCACAATGGCTCTGATCCAATTAATCAGTCCAACCCTCGCCCACCCCCAAATAAATAATTTTATCATGTGTGTGTTTTTTTACGGGAAAAATAGCACTGTATAATATTATACAGTGCTATTTGTGAGCGATTTTTGCTATTTGCTGGCCTGCAAATAGCACTATAGGTATATATTTATATATATATATATATATA